GCGAAGGGGGGGGGGGGAACCTGCCGTGACTCTGCCAAAATGAAAATGAAGTCAAGCCGCGATGTTTGACTCATAACTGTCAGTGATTCGCAGACAATTACACAAAGCCACTTCTGAGCGCTTTGTGAAATCACGCTTCCTGAGAGTCTGCGACCGCAATAACGCGCGGAATTTCACGACCCGCATTCAGGTGTACTCCATAAAACGGAGTACACGTGTTGTGAGTCATTCCGAATTTTTTTGCGTCACGGTGGACTCGTGATTGGAAACATGACAGAGGCGTGACTTGGGAGCTCATGTGGACGCCCACGGAGTCTATTGGCCGAAAACAGTGATTCTTAACGAGGGCTCCCTCTAGTGGTCTGCAAAATAATGGCTGAAATAAATGTTCAATTTTATTTATTTATTTATTTTTATTCAATAGACGAAATCATTATTTACAAATTAACGACATCCAATCCAATTTTTTTTCCGTAGAACCTGGTGATGTTCCTGAGCCTCGTAGTAGCCTGGGTGATCCCGGACATTCCCAAAACCATCGTGGAGCAGCTGAAGCGCGAGAAGAAGCTGCTGGTGGATCTCTTCCTACGAGAGGAGAAGGACAAATTCCAGCTCATCCAGAGCCTCTTTGCCAAGGACGCCCCCGTCCCTCTGGGCAGCCACGTGCTCGACCCAGCTCAAAGGTTCCCCCTCCCGGGCCGCTATAGCACCCTGCCGCAGTGTGCGACCCAGGCGACGGCCGCTGACGACGACGGAGGAGGAGGAGGAGGAGGAGGAGGGCCCAGGGCGAGGTGCAGGGCGGCCAGTTTCAGCTTGTACACCAGGAAGGTCCCCCTGTCGCCCAGAAATGAAAACTCCAAACACACGGCTGTGTGACATGTGACACAACACATCCCCGAGGGTGGCGTCGGCATCGCGAAGAGAATATCGTGTTCGGGTGATCCCTTCCTCCAACTGCCATTTTGATGTCCTGGCGTGAAAAAGAAGCGGCTTCACTTCATGCGTTTTTTTTTTTTTTTTGTTGTTGTTGTTTTTGCTCATGTTTTGTTCACCCTATCGAGTGTGATCTTTTTTTTTTTTTTTTAAACTTATTATTTTTAGCTTGTAGCTTCATTGCGTAAACAAGCAATAATACTGCATTAGGCTGAAGAGCATTGTAAGATATTGTAGATTACAAAAAAAAAAAAAAAAAGTCACAGAATTGAACATTTAAATCAAAAGCTATGGATGCATAGATCGCGGTTACATAAATAAAAATATAATTCTACCTTTCGGGCTGCAAGGGGTGGTATGCTCAAGGGTACTTTTTTTTTTTTTTGCTTTTGGAAATCGTCAAGATAAGCCCAAAATGTCGATTGTACCTTCAGAGACGATAAATGGACTCCTACTGTAATGTAGTCCTATGTTTTTTGATTATTATTATTATTTTTTTTTGTGTCAGTAATTGATAAATGAATGGATGGACGTCATGTCTCGGTGCACCTTTTGGAATATTTCTGCTTCATGTTGCTGAATTATGCTCTTTGTATATATTTTGTTTGGAACTCGTAGCAACAACAGATAATCCCCAGATTCTATAGACTTCTTCTATTGTTAGTGAAAGCACTGATGAGCTTCCTGGAAGTGCAAATTGTTTCCATGGCATTCTCTGTTTACATTGAACGTCTCAAGCGATTTCTTTTTTTCTTCGTTGCCAGTAATTGTTTTGTTTTCTTTGTTTGTTTGTTTTTTCCAGGACACTTACAGCCCTCCATGTTTTGACACTATGAGATCCACGCCAATTTCCAAACGTGATATACGATGTGACATGTTTATCATTTCCTGTTTTAGCTGAGCAAGTTTATGTCGACGTTTGGTTGCAGCACTGAAAACTGAGCCCAGTCGGACTAAATCCATTCGTTGGATCCGCAGAAACTTTCATCGTCGGTGCATTCGATTCAACTGTTTGCGTACTTTGGAGATAATGAGTCGATTCACTTTTTGTTTATGACAATTTGAAGTCATTGCTGCTGTCCCGACGTGCTGCAAATTGTCATTTGTGTTTTTCGGAGGCCTTGTACATGCTCTTGTTTTGCCATTGCACGACACAACATCTGTGTGCTCACTTGCTAGCCAGCAACAGACTGTTAACTTTGTTTTAGGTATTTTAGAATGACGTAGGACAAGCAAATTGTGACCGTGGCACACGCTTAAGACTATTTAGTGACATACGTGAATACAAAATTGTTGGATGTCTTACAAAATAATTTGAACACAATTGTGTCAATTGTTTGCTTTATGTCTCATTATGTTTTGTTTTGTTTTTCTATTTCTCTTCTGCCTTTCTTAAACGGGAAGTCCGAAAAGGATATTAAATGGAGGATGATTCAAATGGAGACAATAAAAATGAAAGAAGGATGCAAAAATATGTTCCTGTGGCTTTGCAAACATTTCCGACACATTGTGAATTGTGTTTTCAACTGGTTAACAAAAACACCAAAAGGTAAGGTCCTGTTTATTTTATTTTATTGTATTGTATTTTGTTTATAAGCGGTTCTGAAAATGGATGGATGGATAATCATTTCCAAAATACAGAACGAGCCACTCAGCATGACAAATATTTTAAGGCACAATGACAACTTTTGCAATACCAGTTTGATCCTCTCAAGGTAATGAGTCACTTTATAAGAATCTGCACTGTGGAAAAAAAAAAAAAACTTTTTAAAACCTAATTTTAGTTAGCAAGTTGTTTGCGCCAAAACAATTTGTCTTGTTGGTTTTTTTTAGGTTGGTGGATAGTACAAGGAGCAATTGGCTCTTTAACCTGTCAGTTGAATAATTTCTTTGTTGAAAACGCGGAAAAGCACATTTTTACATTTAAAAAAAAATTGTCGTCGTTTGTTTTCTGGAAAATGAGGTTACCCAACATTTGTGTTGTTTTGCAGTGCTGTAACTTAGCCTCACTAAAAACGGCTTTCGTTGCATATTGGGATAAAAATAAATAAAAAATAATACAAATCCCAATCAGACTGAATGCGTAGATTCATGTGATAAATTACGACATGAATGTTTTTTTTTTGAACATACTTTTGCAAGAAAACATTTACCGGCATTTTTTCATTCTGGCTGAGGTTAACCAGGTTTGCCCGTTTGTACGGGCATGTAGCATTTTACCTCTGTAAATTTGATCACCCAATATTTGAAAGCAAATTCTAGGTTTTGCAACTCGATTCAGCCACTTATTATTGCCTTAAAAGCATGTAAAAGTCGAATAAAATATGAAATACCATACAGTGAAACCTTAAATTTGCGTGAATATGCTAAATTCCGGCGATCACACAAGAGTTACGACGTCTCGTGTTTTCCCTGAACGCATCACTGACATCTTTTCCTGTTTTACTGATTGACACGGTTGATTGGTTACACGTGTGTGTCGTTTCCCTATGACGCCGTCAGTCAAGATTTGCTCACTTTCCATGAGCAGGTACGTGAAAAAATAATGATTTATTGTAATATTGCAACAGTTGAACAATTGAACATGATAGTGTTGACTAATCCCGCCGCTTGTACCGTCCGTGTTAGCAGCCATTTACGTTTTAACAGTCTCCATTTTGGAAGCCCTGTGATACGAACACAAATGTGAAAAATGCGACTATATAAATGTCATTCACACTAATAACCATACTGTACAGAAGTGTTGCCGCGTCAAACCAGTTTTAATAATTATTGTAATATTTCTTGACAACTTTCGCTTCTACTTCCGCTCTCATCCATTTCCACTTCCGGTTGGTGCACAGTAATTGCCAGGTCCCAAACACTTGTGCCCATTTGTGCCTTTCAATTTATCACTCTAATACACAATTTCTAGATACGTATGCAAACTACTACAGTTTAAAACTGGATTCTGTAACATCAATTTAGAAGGAAAACGGTCATAGGACTATTTTACTTTTTTTTTTTTTTAACTATTTTCCATCACATACAACTACTTTATCATTGTAGGTGGACTCGAAATTCTTCATCTTCTTCTTCTTTTTTTTTTTTTTAATTTTTTTTTTAAATAATATGCAGCAGTGATGATGACAAGTCCAAGCTGAACCGACTGCAAACAGATGACTCAGGTAAGCGCGACTCAAACTCTTTCAGTTGTCACTCAAGGGGGAAGGATAACGTGCGAGTCTTCCATACCATTCTACAAAGCCACACAATGCGTTGTTTAAAGATAAGATAAGTCTAAATAGCAACGAGCTCGGTCAGGTTTAGACAATGGCTGACTGTGGTAATCCGCTTGTTGGAGGTCATGTTACAATTACCTCCTACAAATGGAAAATAATTGGCAGGAGAGGTGAATACCAAGAGGAAGTGCTGCTTCAATGTAAGCAAAAGAACTCTTGCGAGTGATGTTGAAGCCAAGTGCTTGCTAAGAGTTGAATGATGTGACAAGGAGAGAAAAAAAAAAAAAGATCTTTGAAGTGATTTTACGTGCGGAAGCTTGCCCTAAATGTCGCACTGTTGCGTAAGTTTCAGGATTTTTTTTGTTTGTTTGTTATTGTGCTGCTACTTGTTCCATTGTTCTTTGACTTCTACATGGAAGTTTTACATCTTAAGTAGGAACAGATGCATTTCAGTGTTTTTGTTTTTGTTTATTTGTTTGGGAGATCATAACACATTTTCTTTCAGATCGGGTACAAGATGTGAGCACTCACCGATACCACTAATGATACTTAATGTCGCTACGTCTTGCAGTTGTGATTTTTTTTTTTTTTCAAAAACCCAAACTCCTTGCACATTTTTTTGGGGGGGGGGATGTAATAACGTCATCTTAGAATTACACGATTTTGTATGCTGTTCTTTGCTACTTGGCGGACAAGTCACATTGTCCGACTGCCTTTATTGTACGTTATGTTATTATTTGGCGGCCCGGTGGTCGACTGGTTAGTGTGTCGGCCTCACAGCACAGAGGCGCCAGGTTCGATTCCGGCTCCGGTCTTCCTGTGTGGAGTTTGCATGTTCTCCCCTGTACCTGCGTGGCTTTTCTTCGGGTACTCCGGTTTCCTCCCACATTCTAAAAACATGCGTGGTGGGTTAACGAAACACTCCAAATTGTCCCTCGGTGTGAACGTGGATGGTTGTTCGTCTCTGTGTGCCCTGCGATTGGATGGCAACTGGTTCAGGGTACCCGAAGACGGCTGGGATAGGCTCCACCACGCCCTTGTGAGGGTAAGCCAATCGCAAAATGGATGAATGTTATTATCTCATTCAGTGCCAGCCAATTCTGGACCAAGTCTGAAAAGATGTTTAAAAACGTCTTTGGGAGTGAATGAGTTATTTATTATTATTATTATTTGCGTGCTGCCCCTATAAAAGGCCAGTTTTGGTCACGCTGACTTTGTTGTGTGTGTGTGTGTGTGTGTGTGTGTGTGTGTGTGTGTGTGTGTGTGTGTGTGTGTGTCGGGAGACATTTTAAGATTAATTTCTAAGAAAGACCAAAGCAGCCAGTTAATAAAAGTCACGAATACCGCAGCAGGCTTATGCAACTGTCGAGTTCCTGGCTCAGCTTTTGAGTGCAGTTGTTTACGTGTAGCTACAGTCGAACCCTGACCTCAAATTGGATCCATAACTCCCATCAGATCCAGCGTCCTACTGTTTGCGTCTGTTTGTGTGACTTTCACACATGGAAAATGAGGGATTTTTCGGTCCGATATCTCCAAAATGCTCGGGGCCTCACTTCCTGTCGTCGATTCGCTTCTCATGCTGTTTTTAATGAGCAAGTCGGCGGGCTGCTGTGATAAGTGGAGGAAAGGTTTTTGTGTAAACAATGTTCAATGTCGGTCGGTTTCAAGAGAAAGGCTTGTTGAAGCGTCGAGTGAAAGCAGTGAGACGGGCATCGCCCACCAATTACACACCCGCACGCTTTCACAGTCGAGACACTGTTTCCTAAGTGGCCTTGACTTGAAAATGACGATGACTCCACGGATTCCTAAACTTGTTTTCTTTTTCCTGGTGTGTTAAAAGAAGGGATTATAAATGAAGCGGTTCTGAAAACTGTGCGTTTTTTTGTTTTTTTTTTTTTACGTTCAAGATGAAAATCGTGAAGACCCGAGACAGAAGGCAAACATGCAGACCGGCGACAGAAACAAAACGATTCCAAATATTTGGAATTAAGATTTGCAGACACGGCTCATTTTAATGAGCATATTTGGAAAAAATCTCACAACAACAAAGCGATAGCAGAACTTTAGGGAGCCATGTGTGTAGCGAGATAGTTCAGTGTCGATGCAGCGCCCTCGTCATTGGCCCAGGAGGTGTTCCGATGGTTTTACGTAAATGTGAATCACCCAGAAAAGGTGTTCACCAGTCGGGCGATCGCTCACTATGCTGTTTGCCTTGGACATTTTCGAAGGATTGTTAAA